TGGACTGAAGCTCCTGTTTGCTTGTATCCCAGCTGGAACAACCCCCACGCTGGGATTTGGGTCTGTCTCATGCTGACCACTGCAAGTTGAAACAAACACTGGAAGGAAAAGAGGCCTTGTTTATGCATTAAAATAGATTTGGCTTATAAGCTTGCTACCAGACACAAAAATTAACCTGCTCCTGTGCTAGCCTTCTATTCGGACTGTCAGCTTCTGGGATGAAGGGACAAGTGCTATTTTGTATTTAATATTTAATTTCATTTAAACACTAGTGTTTACACTAGTGAAAACACTCCAAATTTTGATAGGTCTGATGATATTGACACAAAAACATAGTATACAATCCCCACATCTGATTTTAGAGGGCAAATTCAGCCATTTGGGTCTGAAAGGAAGAAAGGCAAATAAGACAGAGAATAAAACAGCCTACTGAGTGCATTTGCCAATGTTTTTCCAAAGTGGCCGTAACAACCCATGGACTCACTGGTACAGAAAGGGTGGACCTACATCTGTACCCCTTCTCCTCCCACATTCCTGTTCCCTCCTTTCCTTGCATCAGTTCTGGCACTTATCTGACTCCCAGCCCACACCCTGGCAGCAAATGAATCCCGAGGGGGGGGAAAAAAGAAAACAGTAGTTTTCTGCTAGTTTAGCAGCCAAGAATGTGCATGGAAGCAGTAAAACTGCCTCGTTTGGCAGCAGAAAGCTGTTGGTTTGGCTTCAGTCTCATGAAGCTTCATCCCATGCTCCAGATGCAGCTCAAAAAGAGCAGTGAGATTTCTGGAAGCACTTGCAGAGAGGAATCTCAACTACTCACCTGCTCTGCTGACTAAGAGTGTTACCTGACCTTTGGAGGGAAAGCCAGGCTGCCTCTGCCCCCAGGAGCAGGTAGTGCCAGGCTCCTCAGCCAGCCTGGGGCAGGATCTGCCCAGCTCCCTCTCCAGACCATCTACCAGAGTGAGCAGTGGGTGTCTGGTACCTTGGAAACTTGGGGAGTAGCAACAGAGAGATGCCTGTGCTAACTGTGGTACCTTCTGTGCTAAATCCTGCTCTCCAAAAGGAAGAAACAGCTGTCTCACCAGGGCAGGGTAAAACCAGCTGGAGAGTTTATAAACAGGAAATCCCAGTCTCTAAAGTAATGTTTAAAATTATTCTTTCCTTTCCAAATATACCTGAACAAGGAATATTTTTTCCTACTAACGTAACTACCCCTGCATGAAGAATTACTGAGTCACAGCCAAGAGATGTTCTCCTCTGTAGGAGATTCACATGCCTGAAAAGCACGACGGGCTGGGGGAGAAAACCTTTCTAATTACTGATGTAGTTTGGGTCTGAGCATCTTCAAGGGGCAGAGTGACACTTCCTAAAGAAACCCTCCAATGAAAGAAAGATGAATGAGACCTATCACCATTCCAATTTTTTTTTGTTTTAAAAATTAAATTTGAATTTAAATTCTTCATTTAAAAGCCAATTCCAGAGAACCAAAGTAAAAAAGAAGAAGACAGATAAAAGGCTTTCCAATATGCCCAGTGCTTGGTCACTGAGTGCTTTGTTGCCTTCCCCAATAGACTTTCCCACTCAATGGACAAGTTAAAAACACATTAAAATGACAGCTTAATTCTCCAACAGGAAGTCAGGCACTCATCCAGAAGGAACTAGCTGTACCAGAGGCACCAACTGCTTTGAGTCACCAATTAAGACTATTTAGGGGTAGAGAGGGGGTTTAGATTAGATGAAAAATTTCTTCACAGAAAGGGTGGTCAAGCATTGGAACAGGCTGCCCAGGGAAGTGATGGAGTCACCATCCCTGGAAGTGTCCAGGACACATGTAGATACAGCACTGGAGGATGCAGTTTAGTGGTGAACAAGGTGGTGGTGCTGGGTTGACAGTTGGACTTGGTAATCTTAGAGTTCTTTTCCAACCCTGAATGATTCTATGATTATATATAAAGTGGTTTTTTAAGGAAACAGCTTGGTTTGTTTAGGGCTGTGAGGTGGTTTGTTTTGGGGGTTGATTTTTTGGGGTTTTTTTTGGAGGGGGTGGGGTTGTTAGCTGTGTTTGGACTTCTTGTTTACTTATTTGTTTGAATCCCAAACCAACTAATATGAGTGGGAAAAGCAGGTGAGGGTTGGGGTTTTTTGCCTGCCTCTGTTTTCTGCCTCTGTTTCCCCAGGCTGCCATAGAAAGGTCACAGCACACCTCAAGGACCATGGGCTGCAATTGGGACAGTCCCTTTAGCACAGCCAGGGAGCAGCTGATGGCATCATGGGACACCTCCTACAACCAGTTACAAGCTCTGCTGGCCAACTCATGATGCACTCCTGTCACTGCCTGGAGCTGTCAGCACCCTCTGTGCTACTGAAACCCACACAAGGAACTAATCCAAGACATCTGGGACTGTGGAAAAGGCAGTTTCCATATAGAAATTTTTATCCAATCTCTCCTAATCAGTAATTGCAGGATACTGTCTCTGCTAAAACAGGAAACGTGTGAACCAATTTCTAAGAGGTAAGAAGCAAAACCAAGTCTCTCACAGAACCAAGTAACACACAATGCTCATACCAAGCCATTCAGCTGGGGAAAAAATCCTCCCCAGATGGACAAAAAAAACCACAACAGACAAACTAGATCCTTTTATGTGTCCCTTTAATAAAATACATTTGCATAGTTATCTTACAACTTTGTTTAAAACCAAAGATGAACAATTGCCTCATGCTAAGCACATCCTGCATTCGTGTGTCTTAATCATCCCCACACATGAACACTCAAGCTTGGGAAGAACAACAGGAGGGATTTTAAGGCAGCACACACCAGTACACAGCAGTTTTATTAGTTCATTACATCGAAGTAGCACAACCTGCAGCAGCTCCCACCACTGCTGCAGGCCAAGGACTGTCAGCATTCCTACGAGCAACTTATTTACAGGTGTTTCCAACCCGACTTGAGAAAATCACATAGGGATATGATCTGACAAAGCACTGAGATGGCAGAAATATTCAGTGACTGGTAGGAGATGATTCAGTTATTAGTGTGTACCTTTTGGATGGAGCTTTGTGCCTTCTGCACTC